GAGAGGGAGAGTGTCTGTGCTCAGGCATGCAGGCAGCGGCCACACTGCCCACACCAGGTGCCTGGTCCCTGGCCACCAGGGAGGTGCCTTCCTTGTCCCCTCCCCTCCCACCCGCTGCCACCGTGAGCTGGAGGCCCGGCCAAGGGCACGGCTGTGTGTGTGGGGAGCAGGTGGTTCCCTCGCGGGGGGATGGGGGATGGGAGATGGGGGATGAGGGCGGGGGAGCGGGGCCAGAGCGTCCTTACCTACATCTCTCAGGCTCCGCACGGTGACGGCGAAGCCCTTGGTGCGCGGCAGCAGGTGGTGCTTGAGGCTGGGCAGCCCCTTGGCCTGGGCCACCTGCATGCTGACCCGGCGCTTCGTCTCCGTGAAGCGCGTGCCCTCGCAGTGGATCAGGAACTGAGGGGACAGCGCACACGGCCGGTCACTCCCGTCCGCAGGCCCACGCCCCGTCCCACGTGGTCACACGCAGGGACCCAGGTCACACCCATCCGCAGGCCCACACCCTGTCCCACACGGTCACACGCAGAGACCCAGGTCACACCCATCCGCAGGCCCACGCCCCGTCCCATGCAGAGTCACATGCAGGGACCCAGGTCACACCTGTCCCGCAGGCCCACCTCCCACCCCATCCCACGCAGAGTCACACGCAGGGACCCAGAAGGCTTTGGGCATGGCCAGAGGGGGTGGTCTGGCAACTGTCTCCACCTGTCCTCAGGGTGAACCCAGAGTCAGCCACCCTCCGCTGACAGCTCAGGGCAGGACACCTGGCTGCCGGTGTGTGTGTGTGTGTGTGTGTGTGTGTGTGTGTGTGAGAGAGAGAGAGAGAGAGAGAATCCTGAGTGTGTGTGACAACAGCATCCCGGGGTTTCTTGCCACACAGTAAGTTCAGATGAAGGAGGACAGAGGTGGTGTGCACACAGTGGGGCGGGCAGCGTGCGCACAGTGGGGCGGGCAGCAGGCAGGCAGCCAGGCAGGGGGGGCACACGCCAGGCTGCTCAGGCTGCTGGGCGACAGGCTCTGCGAGACGGTCTTGCGGTCCTGCTCCCACTTGCGCGTGCAGAAGACCATCTCGGTGAAGTACCACATCCAGCCGATGATGGGCACGTAGGCCAGCTCCTTCTTGGCCAGCACCTTGGAGCCCTGAAACCGAGGGCCGGGTCAGGGAGGGGACCGACTAGAGGAGGAGGCGTGGCCATTCGCCCCAAAGGCCGAAGGGGACAGCCCAGAGCAGGGAGGCACGGAGC